TGACGCAGCTGACACAGAATAGCATACGCTGTTTGCGTTGAGTGGATATTCTCCAAAATGGCACCAGGGTGACGTGGAGCAGACAAATTGTTAAATAAAGTCGTTATTTTTGTTTTCTTTGCGTACAAAAAGTATTGTCGTAGCTTCGTAAAATTACGGTTGAACCCCTGATGTCACATGGGTTATTTTACCGATCTCCTTGCTACATTTCTGGGCCTTGATCGTGGTAGTATCCTTGCTGTCTATGGGAGGGTCAGAGGGCTCTCAGAATTCATCAAAAATATATTAATTTGTGTTCCGAAGATAGATTACGGGTTACGGGTTCAGAACGACATGAGGGTGAGTAATTAATGACAGAATTTTCATTTTTGGGTGAACTAACCCTTTAAACCAGCTCATGACCAACTAAGAACCAGCTTAAACCAGCTCAAACCAGCTGCCATGCTTCATAACATACCAGCATATGCTGGTTTTTCAACAGGGAAGGGATAGGGTGGTCTAATTCTGTGGCTAGTTGAAGTTAGTAAAATGGTTAAAATCACTTATAGCACCAGTCATGGACACTGTAAAATCTAATTAGTTGGGCTTACTTAAAAAAAGCATGCAAACCGATTGCCTAGACCACCTTCTAAAAGCAACCTATTTATTACTTTTCTTCCCTTGAAGCCAAATTACTCTGCCTTCACGATGCATTGCTGCATTAACAGGAAGATAATTATAGTAACATAAACAAAGTTCCAAGTGCCCAACCAAAGGGAACGCTAATCAATATAATGTTAAGTAAAGATTACTAATTAAATCTAAGTAAGGTAAACTATTGGATTTTACAGTGGAGCATGCAGAATGAGTGTACAGAACAACATGTCTTCATTTTTTAATTATTTTAAATGCCTACCCATCTCTGATTAGGTAGTATTTTAAGGCCTGGTCAGCTTTGGGACCAGGGGTGGCAAAACAGCTGTCTACAAAAGCAGCAAGGCCATCCACCCGCTCTCGAGGCTCGACGCCAAAGTACAGCGAATCACGCAAACGCAGTTGAGGAGGTTGGTTGTATGCCTCGGAAAATTCAGCGTTTTTGAAAAGCTCCAAACTGAAGGGGAATATTCCTTCACTGTGGCCCGCTAACTCGAGTGCTGTGTTGCGCAGACTGGGCAGGTAGCCATCCGACACCTCGTACTGCCGTGGAAACTCACACGTAATTGGCAGCAGTAGTTTACTGGTGCGCACAATCAAGTCCCCATCGCTGCTGGGACTAGACCGTGGCAAACCTGTTACCAAGTTGGTGCCAACAATTTTGTCATCAATGACCTGGAGAAGAGAGAAAGGAAGTTGATGTTCCACTACATTCCCAGAGACCTATCAAATAGTTCACATGTAATGGTATTCACCACCTATTTTACTTCAGTAATGTGAGAGTGAGGAAAAATATGGAAGCTAGGACTTGATATTATCCATTAGGGTTGGATTCTGAGTAGGTGTTATGGATTCAGTCCTGCAAACTGCAGATTATGAAGGAATACCATTGACAAGTACTTTTGAGGAGGCTTTTTGACCAGGATGACAGTAAAGATCACAGTATTTCCCAATGGTAACGGTTCTTTTTGACTCTATTATTATTTGCTATTATTGCCATAAGCTGCATAGCAATACTACTGTATTTACATTTTACACTAAGTGAAAATAGCAGTATTTTCTTTGCGATATACTATTTACATTAAGTGCAAATAGTCATAGCGTCTATTTACACTGTGTAGAAAAATAGCAGTATTTTCTGCTATTTATACTACTTATTGCAAATAGTCAAGTCAAGTCACCTTTATTTATATAGCGCTTTTAAATAGTGGCAAATATATGCACCTCAGTATTGTAGTACATTATAGATGGATGCTGACTTATTGGACAATAAATCCCTCCCTACACCTAACCCTAACTATGAGATGTGAAAAAGGAATGAGATGAGTTCGGCAACAGGCAGATTCGATCTTGGATCAATTGTGTCAAAAAGTCTGCACTACATGTTTTACCACTTACACCACTGGAGCTGTTCTTTGACAGCCGTCTTATGTAATGTTAACTAGCCCAACCGCACATTGGTGGGTGAAGTTAGTGTAAATAGCCTCTGCCAACAAGGTGGGCTATTTGCACTTAGTGTAAATAGACACTCCATTAAAGGGCAACTGACAAGTTTTGGTCCTGGTGTGCATGAAATCCAATGACTGATCAAAGTTTGAAAAATCCATAATAATTTTTACCTGGACCACAGTGCCACATGTCTTCAGACTAAAGTGGAGGTTAATGTGGGTGCCATTGGAAATGCCCCGGCAGGAGCTGTTAGACAGGAAGAGTTCAAGTCCTCCCACCAGTTCTTTGGGAATCGAGACCTCTATGGAACTAGGATCACACTGCACAGGGACTGCACACAAAACAAACGTCGTAGTGAAATCTACAAACCCTGACAGAAAGAGGCACGAAGTAGGAGAGATAGGTTCAGCTCACCTTGACAGGTCCGTTTGTCATCTCCCAACGTCAGACCCCGGGGACAATGACAGTAATATGAGTCGTCCTCTAAGAAGCATCCATGGCTGCAGCCTCCATTCACATTGTCACAGCCGGCAGTCTCTACACACAACCACAGAAACCACAATGCATGAGTTAAATGAAAGCCTGCCCATATTCAGGATGCTCTGGTTTACCATGTTCTTACCTTTACAGCTCTTCCCGTCCTCGTGCATTACTTTACCTGGTCCACACTCACATCGACGAGAGCCCTTGGTGTTGATGCATATTTCTGCACATCCTCCATTGCCTTTCTCACATTCGTTCACATCTTAACACAACAGAACGCAGTTAAAAACAGAAGCAGATAAGTGAATGTGGAGTAGAAACTTTGAAGGCAGCATCCTAACTGAAACAGATTGAGTTGGAATGCACAGGCAGCAACTTTGTGCGTCATTCAATGCTTCACCTGAGAAGATTAGACTCGAGTGCATTTGGATTGTTTTCTATATATGCAACGTTGATTTAGAATTTGTCTGTCTGTCTTTACCAGAACAGTCTTTGTGTCAGGATCAACACAAAATGCTGCCTTAAAATGTTCCCTCTGTAGGTGGATGACTGTTTTGCAACAAGGCCAGTCATTTATGTTGTTCTGGAAATGGAATTGACAGTGATAAGTTAAGTTTCTCCTGAAGGGTAAAAAGGTTATGAAATGCTTACATGAAAAACTGAAAGCTAGAGAGAAAGCATCAGTGTGTAGGATAGATGGCTTGATGTCCTTAAGTATATCCAATCCAGTAAATGAACGCATTCAATTACATCTAATTGTTTTCACTTATTCTGTTTACTCCTTATTTTCCTGTTGTGTCTTTGCCCCTACAGCATTTGGAGTTGACACTTTCCTCTCACCAGCTTAAGAAGTAGGACTGCTTCATGCACTGTGTTCCTTCTGCAAATTAAGAAAGGATTTGAGGAGTCTAACCCTTCCAATTAGGGTTTGAATCCCCCAAGCCTCTAAGTCAAACTAAAAGTTGGAAGGGCTTTTTATTTTATTTTAACAGTTTCAAGTGGATCAGTGTGTGTAGACTACTTGGGCCTATACCATGGGTGTCCAATCCTGGTCCTAGAGGCCTGGTCCCAGCCCACCAGCTTGGATCAGTGTTGCCAAGTCTGTGGTTTTACCACAGAATTGGGCTACTTTTACACTGTTGCAGGTTGCTTTTTTAGTTGGTGGGTTAAAGCTATCCCAAGGAATGCAATTTCAATGAAGGGGACCTCCAACAGAGGGGAAAACCATAGAAAAAATTGCTATATGGCTAGTTTTGAATCACAGTTAGGCTGGTTTTGTTTCATAGACCTGGCAACCCTGGCCTGGAGTGTTGTAGTAATCCTGAAGACCTTGATTTGCTGCTTCAGGTGTACCTAATTAGACTTGGAGCTACATCTGCAGGACCCCCAGGAGCAGGATTGGACCCTATACAGTCTTGCCTTAAACTTCTATATATCCTTGGCCTCTGGCTGTTCTTGTAACAACTACATATCCTTAAGAGATAGAGACTTGTGAACATAAGTTACGCTCATTCTGAGAGGTAACCATAGCAACAGCACCAGACGGGAGCAAAAAAAAAAAAAAGTTCTCCAAGACAAACTTCAACAGATTGTATCCTGAAAATTACCTACAGATATTCCTTTAAAACTATAAATTGCACTCTCTTCTTTTTCACCATTAAAAGCATTGATTTAGCTGGCTGCCTTCGTACATTAGTGGATTGTTTCTCAATTTCGCTTTTCAACAGTCTTGTGGTCTCTTTTTCATCACTGCAAAAGCACTCTCTCATTCTAATCGCAATATAACTCTTCGGCTCTATAAGCATCTATCTTGGCCAGGCCTGGACCACACTGTTACTCACCCAGACATGTCTGTGCATCCGGGCCTAGAACCGTTCCCTCAGAACAGCGGCATTCTGGCTCGACAGGACAGTCAGCTCCGTTACACTCCACCTCATCACATATGTCATAGAAATCTATGGCAACACACACAACGAATCTGATGGAGGTAAATTTTATCCAAAATGTCAGAAAGACCCAGTAAAGCAGGAGGAAGACTTACGGCCACAGTAGACGTGGAAGCAGACGGAGGGTCGGGGCAGGCGGTACACATAGTAACCCTTAGCACAGGCCTTTACATCCACACTAGCTGTCCAGTGACAGCAGTTATTATTGAAGCTAGCACACACTGGGAGGGTGACCATGCCATCGCTAGGCTGAGGGTGGCTGCCGTTCAGCCAGATGGGAGCATGGGTACCACAGTGGTTCTCCTCGATACAGAAGGTTGGCATAGCATCCCCAGCCATCCCCGTAAAGCGATACCACTCTCCCGCCACATGCCGGTCGCACAGAGGGACTCCCGCAGAGTTGTTGACATGGTAGTCAGTGTTCCGCCATGGTTCATTCAGACTGATATACGCTGAGCAGGGATCTAGAGCCGAGACAGGTAAAAATTGGTCAGAACTTGTCACCACATATTATGCATTCCCATAGGAAAAATTTTTTGCTCAGTGGTTGGTTTTCCTAAACTCAGGAGACTTAGATGAGATTCTCATATATCTCTCATTTTAGTATCATGAGATATCAGCTTTGTCTTAAGATGTCTTCAGTTTTATTTGAGGAGAAACGTTAAACTTTTACTAATATAGTAAATACTAAAACTATCATTTAAATAGCATTAAACATTTCAGAATATCAAGGGTTACTAGTTTAAATGTTTAAATGTATCTTTAATGTCCAGCATTGTAAATACACTACATTTTCCAAACACACTAGAAAGAACTTACAAGTGCAAGATGTTTAGTATAAGAGCAATACCTTTTTTTAACAAATGTAACACTAGTGTACCAGTGTTTTTTTTTTTTTTTGCTTTGTTTAGCATTAAAATTTTGTCTTGTACAGCCCATTTTTGCATGTATGTACAATAAATATAGGTTATGGTTTCCTCTGTTAAATCATTGTGCAATAAAACACGGTCTACGTAAAACAACTTCAAATATGACAATGCATGTATTGTCTTTGATAATGGTGTGGAAAAATGACATTGAAGCTAACCAGAGGGAAGAAAAATCAAATAAAAAGAGATCTCTTTAACATTTCAAATATTTCTCCTAGACAGAAATGAGGTTACTTTAATATTGAATGGAAACTTTTGCTTGAGTCTCCTGCTTCTCAAACTTGTCTCCTGAGACAAAAACTCTAGCAAGCTCACAATGGTCTCCTTTAAAGCTT